GCCAGGCCATCCCTCCACTCACCCACACCCCATGTTATTCTACAGCGACGGCAGGGCAGCCGAACCAGTGAACCCGCGTACTCCTCTCCGCGTGTGCATCCACTGCCGCGTCTTTCCCGGCTCCGCGTCGTCCCCTTCCTAGGCCTCACCGTCGTCCACTGCCGTGGTGCTCTCGGCGCGGCGTGGTCAACGTGGTCAAGGAACGACTTCCATCGGACATGGACTGTACGTGGAGAAGCTGACAGCTGGGTCCACGGCAGCCGCAAGGAAGTGCCTCCTTATTACGTGCAAAAAAATTATTCCTCCACCTGACAGCGGGGACCCACCGGACGGGCCACCGTATTTCGCAAAAAAATGATTCGCCCCCTGACTGCTGGGACCCACCAGTTACATCTTCGCACGCAAGGAAGTGCGTCCGAAAAAAATGATTCGCCCCCCTAACTGCTGGGACCCACCAGCTACATCTTCACACGCAAGGAAGTGCGTCCGAAAAAAAGCGATTCGCCCCCCTGACTGCTGGGACCCACCAGCCACACCTTCGCACGCAAGGAAGGGCGTCTGGGCAAAAAAATGATTCGCCCCCCTGACTGCTGGGACCCACCAGCTACATCTTCGCACGCAAGGAAGTGCCTGACAGTCAGGACCCACCTGGTCGACGTACGTAGCATTGTCATTCTAGTCGCGAACGTGTACATACATATATACTGGTGGATGTAGAGGCGCGCACATAGCATGTATACGTACGTACAGCGGCCAGTGTGCAAGAAAGAAAATACGACCACATATGTGTACATATGGGCGGGGTCTCGAATGCCTACTCGCGCATACGTACGGCCAGGGCTCGTGTACATGGCTGGGTCGGAACAGAGAAACAGCGTCGTCGTTGTGTTCATGGGGAGCCAACCGGCTGGGTCGGAATGAAATGTGTCGTCGTGTTCATCGGGAGGGCTTGGACGGAACAGGCGATGGAAACGAGGCCTGGCATACCGCAGAACGGAGGAAACGTCCTTGTGTTCGACCGGCCACGTTCGAAACGGGATCCTGTTCATCGGGAGGTGTGTGACGTACCGCAAAACGGAGGAAACGGACCTCCTATGGTCGAAACGGGGTCCTGTTGATCGGGAGGGGTGTGGCGTACACTACTAGGGAAAAGCTTATACACAGACGCTTACTAGTAGCGAGGGTTAAAACCCCTCGCTACTGCTACTTACTAGTAGCGCAGGTTTTTAAACCTCGCTACTACTAAGTTGATAGCAGTAGCGCGGGTTTTTAACCCTGGACATGCCATAGTAGTAGCGTGGGTTTTTAACCCTCGCTACTACTAAGTTGATAGCAGTAGCGTTGGTTTTTAACCCTCGCTACTACTAAGTGGTCTCTACCGTGCAGATGGACCATGCCATAGTAGTAGCGATGGTTATAAACTCGCGCTACTACTAAGTTTTTACCCCTCGCTACTACTAATCGGTCTCAACCGTGCCCCTCGGGGACATGCCATAGTAGTAGCGAGGGGTAAAAACC